ATCTGAAGTGCGGGTCATGGTCCAGGATGCCAAATCCGGGGTGATGACATCAACTCTGGAGGCGCCGGTTCACCTCACAGATGCAGGCACTCTGCCACTGATGGCATCCACTAACCAGGAGGAGGGATGAAAAGATGTACCACATGTGAGAAATTTCATTTAGTCAAAGATTCAGTTTTCCATTCCAAAACAAGTACAGATTTTTTTTTTATCAGCTCTAATACGTTTTAGTGAAGACTGTGTGGGGGATCTGTATATGATATATATGCACTGCATAGGAGAAAAAAGTGTCATAAATTACAGAACCTATCAGTGTATGCATGTACTTTTCATGACCATTTTGTCACTACACCTGCACTCTTGCCAATTAATCTAGCACCTCTATGGTCTATTCTAACATCTCAAACCTGTATACTGATCCAAATGGCTTTCCACTTCTTGGAATGAGCCTGTTACAAAATGGTTCATGTTTCTTCTAAATGTGGAAATTCCCCTTAAAAAAATTATGCCTGTTGGAGGCCCAGCGTGAGTGAGATTCAATCCAGAACATGTGACAACTTTTCCCTACAGGTTTTCAGGGTTCGAAATGGAAGGTTTGAACCACTGAAAAGTGGAGAATTCCTTACCCAGACCTGATTTCTACTACTGTAAAGCCATAAGATAGCAGTCTTTAAAGCTGTACTCATTGTTTCTCAGACTTTGGGGTTTAGGCCCTACCTCAGTAAAGTTAGCCAGTCTTGTGCCTCCCCTTCTGCCCCCCCTCTCCCTGCCTAGCCACAGCATTTAATTTGATGCTTTTGTACAAAACTTTTGCCCATAGTTTTGCCTCCACCAGGACCTTCACAGTTTGGGAAATGTTGCTGCATTAGGTTGTATTTGGCTTCCTTTAAAATCTTTACAAATCAATCTCATGTTAACTAAGATGCATGGTTACAGGGATAAGACAAGCAATTCCAGAATCCCTAGGTGGGCTTGGGGCATTTCTGTGTCTTCTTATGTCCTATCTTCAACACCTACAAGAGGAACACTAACTGGGGGGGAGGGGCATAGGGCAGCTCCCTATGGTGGATTCAGGATACCCAGCCGATACCCAGCTTCTACTGGCAGTATATGAGTAATCTGGAAGCAAGTGGTTGCTCATTCACAACTTCTGGGGTTAAGGAGACAATGTTCTTCCATAGCAAGGCAAGGAAGAATCCACTGCTAAGTGAAGCATGTGTTGCATCTATAGTCCTAGCAGAATACTATAGTGTCTTAGTGAGCAAGATGCCAACAAACTAAAAAAAAACAAAAACCACCCTGCACTGGACTAACTCTGTTTCCAGAGAACATTATTAGGTCTGAGATGGTAGTTTGGGCAACTCAGTCTTTGTTTTTTTTCTGCTCAGATTGTTAAAAAAGGTGCCAATGAGTTCCAGTTATTAAAGGATGCAGTGTTCATTTGTACTGAAAACGGTTTGGTACTGAGCCTGGGTCCTGGGTTATACAGCATATCTGTATACAAAATGCAAATCAGTCTGACTTTGAATAGATGCTGTTCCTGTCAAACTCAGGTGGAGTTTTATCACTAACTTTAGTAGTAGAAGGTTGTGGGGTCTGTGATCTTAGTACTAGCCCTCCTTTATGTAACCATTAACTTGCATTACAATATTATCATTCTGTCACACCAAGCAAGCAATAATTTTTGAGCTGATAAGTAGTGTGTAAAAGGATATCTTTGTTCTTTTAACTCCACTGTTAGCTATTATGCCCATTTTCCCGCTCTGGGACTGTGTATTCAGTTGCTGCTCCCTGTAGTTGAGTGTGAGTAAGGAGAATTTCTCCTGCTCAGTGAACAAGTAGCTAGTCCTTAGCTGACATGTTCCAAGGACGTTGCTGTTTGCATACCCACAGACAGAGAAGCAGGTGAAATGCTTGTGTGGATGGAATTGGGGACATCTGTACAAATGTGCTTGGCTGCTTAAATTCTTTTTTAAGAATCTGCAGTCCTTTAGGCACCCATCTCTTTCTCGTTTATTTTCCTAAGGAAAAAAGAAAAAGGCAGACAGAAATAGAAGACAAGAGGCAACAGCTTGAGGACCAGATACTTCAGCTGCAGCATTTCAAGGTAAGGGACTGATGCCAGAAACGATGGATTGACTAAATCTTTTATTATTAGACATGCAGATCACACGTCTGAAAGCTCGGAAGAACCTGCTCCGACATGAAGCAGCTTTCACTGCCGGAGCCTATCTCATCTAGCTAATCATGTCCTGTCTCTTCCTCATTCTGTATGTTTCTCATCCCCAGGACCCCATTAATGAAATGCTTTAGATTGCATAGAAGCAGAAGGGTGTGGGCACATACAGTATGTCTATAATATTATGAAATGCTGGTATTTATTATACACAGTGAAAAGACACCAATCATTGTGAATATGGGTGTGCATGGCATGGCTTCAGTGGGTTCTCTCTGACTACATAGCTGTTTTAGATTTTTCTAGTGCCTGTCATTAGGGGGGGGGGGGGTGTCTGTGTATCTGAGTGCATATGTATAAAGGTTTATTTGAACTGTTAAGTTATGAAGCATACATGTCACTGTAAATCTTATGCATTCATATATGCCAATAGAGGGGAAGGCACATGTGTATGTCGACATACAGATGTGCACTGATTTTTTTTCAGGCTGCTGAACAGCTCCAGGTTCCTTTCAAGCCCATAATAGCTGCAGGTGCTTAGCATTAAAGCATGTTGTCCCAGATATTTTTATATTTTTTGCTGCAGGTAGGGAAACTTGTCTTCATATGTGTATGTAAGTAAAGCAGAACCTTATACATACAATGCTTTTGTATCCAGTGAGTAAAGAGGCATTGTGACAAGATTTGGGGGCCAACTATTGCCAGACTAATTTTGGCAAGTAATCCTATGGAAATCATTGGAATTATTCACCTGAGTAAGGCACCTTTGATCCATCTTTGCACCAGGGATCCTGGAGTTTACTTTTGAAATAATGGGATTATATGCTATGTTTTACACACAAAATACATACTTCAGTGTGTGCATGTGCATGTGTGTATTCTTTACTGATAGCATACTCTATATATTTTCTTGTGTATGTGCATGCACACTTGGGAATCTGGGTGCAGAGTATATTTTGTACACACACTCTCAAACCTTAGATCTAAAGTTATGCTACACACGTCTTTTCCTGTATCTCTGTATCTCCTTCATATGGTTTTTTAGCCTTGATTGCATTTTTTGTAGACATAATGCATTTAAAAGTAATTGATTGCAGCCTAAGCAAATGCTCCATCACTGTCACCATAAAGCTACGGGTGACACACATCTTCTGTGTGATCAGTCAATAACATGATCGCGTTTCTGTGGGGCGGCATGAGTTGCCATTTTGTTCAGGCTGCCATTAGATACCAGAGAAAGAAAATTTCTTCTGGCTACCACGATTTGATGTAGCACAGCAATAGCATGCATCTCCAGTGATATCTTTGCATTTTTTAAGCTGACTGGCATTTGTAAGCTGGCTATCTTCTTTGTCATACTAACTGTTTCTAAGCAAGCTGACTTCAGCTTTTTATGAAATCCTTGAAACAAATGTCTTTGGGAAGCTTGTTCCTGGTGACTTCATTATTCCGCTGTATTTTCTTTGTGTATATGTAGCTAAAAAACATTACCTCCTCAGGTAAAATCTTGTAGGGTATTTTACTGAGTCAGCTATTTGGCTGGTGTAAATCAGGGATGTCATGTTGACTTTCAGTCCACTATGTTGATTTACATCCATACAACCTATTCCCCAACTGACACGAACTGACTTTGGTAGTTGTAGGTTGGAGCAAGGCCAATAACTGGTTAGTGGTTACAGTTAGGGAAGTTCAGTGTAAATCTTTCCCAACACAAATGTGAGCTGTATTTATATCTCTTTAATTTTGGGGCTGAGGACATATACTTGTACTGGGGCTTTGTACTAGGCCTGACACTGACAAAAGGGGCTTATACCGAGGCTGCCAGGAAATGAAGTAACAAGTGGCTCTGATTATAGCAGCCTTGTGGGCTGCCTAAATTATGCCCTGGTCCCCATAGGCAACATACTAGCAGAGGATAGATGAGAGGCCCAAACACATCTGCCATACTCAATGATGCTTCTAAATGTGCCTCCACACTGCGGGCTCTCGTGAGGAGCGATGGGCCTGTCATCTCTATGCCTGATATTCGTAGAAGGCACTTATTACTGTTAGGCCTTTCCAGGAGGAAAGGTCAACCTCCTGCCCTATAGTTGAGTAAAATACATAAAAAAAAATAAAAATAAAAATAAAAAAAAGAGAGAGTGTAGCAAAGGAGGACCCTAAGTTCAAGAAAGGAAATCCCCATGCAATGACTCCAAGTGCACCTGATTAGCCCTTTGAACATAGTGGCCATTTGTAGATGTGCTCACCATTTTGTAAACCATGTTAACTGTTCAAATGACTGGTTAATAGATGATCAAGAAGGTTTGCCCCCTTTTCACAAACCAGTAGCCCATGTGCTTGGGCAGAATTGGGGACTTGGTCAGGATACTGATATTTAGTCAGGTGAGATGGCACATTTGACTTTGTAAAGGTGTTTACTTTTGACTTGGTAAAGGCTGGGGGAAGGGGACAACCTATGTTGTGTTGCAAAAACCCAATTTGCAATGCTTATCTGCATGCCTAAGGAATGCTTATCTGAGTTCCTAAAGACTGTTTCTCCTAAAAGCAATACTGTATATACATGTTCATTAATACAGTTTAAATTGCCTAATTTGGAATGCCCTAGTCTGCCCTTTAATCCTCATTCAATGAGGATTAGTTAATTTGACTGGAGCCAAATTTAATTCAGACTACAGACGTCCGCACATTTATAATGACAGCTGTAGTCCAGATTAAACTTAGAAAAACGTAATATCTAGAAATCAGAGTCTTCTGGATCTAACTACCCTAAATGCCTGGGCCATTTTAGCAATTGCTTGTTCTTACACTCTTCAGGCAAAGCAGTTTATATTTGATATTCTCCAGCACAAGACACAGCCAGGTTATACATAGTTTTGGCAGTACAGCTGTTCACCAAAATTTGTTTGGGGCATAAGAATGCACTTCTATTTGTTTGCTTCTTTGTATGGAAGCAAACAGGGCCAGCAGATATGTGTATTTGCACAGCAAATTGTAAGTTAGTGGTCCGTTATATGGAATTGTAGCAGATGATGGCTGTAGAGACAAAAATCAGTGTCTTCAAGGTTCATTACCACAATGCTGTTGTATCAATCTCTAAACTCCCAGAACTGGATTTTTACCTCCTGGGCAGATTGCTGTGATTCCTTTAAGTCAGGGAATTTCAGACAACTCACACCAGCTAAGATTACAGCCTATGAGTTCAGACACAGATGCAATTAAATAGTTTAGCTTTCCTAACCCTGGATAGAAGATTGGTTTGTTTTGTAAATTAAATGGATTTCAGCAAGTTTGATATTAGGTATTTGTCCTTGGCCACAAAAACATTACAGACTGATTTAGCAAACTCTCATACCTATGTGAAGTACTGAGAGATTCTTAATGTCAGTGTAGATCACAGCATGAGGACTTTATAGAGATGTTCACTAAAACAAGCAATATTGGGAATAAACTTCCAACTGTTATAGCTGCATTTATTTCATCATGTATGATAGCTGGGTTGAGTTAAGGGTGTTTATCTCAGAATTTTAGTCACCTTTACTGCTGTACTGGCATGGTTCATTCTTTGTGATATGCAACAATATTTTTATTAAAAAAAAATCTGCTGTGTAAAATGATGCATTTAATTACTTAATAAGAGTTCTGAATGCTACATGAATCTGGTTAAATACAGACAATTAATTGCCTTGAAATATGAGCATTTTAGATGAGATTACCTGCCGTTCTCAAGTGGTTGAAAGCAATTAGTCTCTGGCTGCATGCATCACAACACAGTCAGTCCATTCACATTTCTTTTGTTATATACCTGGGTAAGCCTGATAAACCTGATGTTAATGCTGACTATGATTTGAGGCAGTATATTGTATTGTCTATGTAGTAAGGCTTGGAATTAGTAATACACATTTTGTATATACGTGGTGTCTCACACAAAGCTTTTTACAAACACCTTTGAGAATTATGTAAATGTTCTTTCTACTTTCTAGATGAGGAAACTGAGGCACAAATATATTGTATAATTTCCCATGATGTGTCTCTGCAGAGCAGGGAACAGGTTTTAGATCTCTGGATTCCCCAAGTATGCTCTTTACCCACAATGTGGTCCACTAATGGCTGGAAAAAGCAATGTGTGGGGCCTCAACTTGCAGAGCTGTAGAGCCTCTGAGGCATTTCTTCCACTCTTGAAACAGCTCAAGGTAGAGAAAGCAACTTAAAGTCCCTTCCTCTGGGACAGCATGGTCTGTGCTGCTCTTCTTGATGCTACAGTACAAAATCTCACACACTTGACCAGGTTAATTCCTCAATGCTCAGGCATTCTTCCCCTCTTTAATATTATACAATTTATCATTATGATACATCATATCTTTAACTCAGCACTGACACATGCTAGTATGACAATATCAGGGCTGGATAAATAAAGTCGAAGATGAGGTTTTACAAGATTCTTTACAGCGTAGGTTAAAAAATGAGCAAATTCCAGATGACTGTTAGTTTCTTATGCCACGTGACTCTAATTCCATTATGTTAACTGTTGAATGTTTTGACATCTGGTAATGGTTTTGTTTGTGACGGTGTATCCTGAAGGTAGCAACTGCTTCCAAGAAATTATTTCATCAGACTTCAGCAGAGAGAAGGAACTCCAGTGGTGATATGACCTACTTCTAAGAACTGTAGTACAACCATCATAGTATGGTTTCCAAGATCTAACTGCCTATTTAGTTAAATGAAATATATATGACAGCTTACAATGTATGCAATCTGGTGACTGCCAGTAATATAATAAGCAACACTGTAATACTAAACTTACCCACTGAATGAAAAATTAGTTGTTATAATGCATTAATTTATCTCACAATTCTCTTATACGAAGGATATCAATATTGTGAATTTCTCTCTGTATATTTCTCAATAACTAAAATACATAAGCACTTAAT